AGCAGCAGGTCCAAGCTGAAAATAAGGCAGAGTCTGAAGAAATGGAGGTAAAGTGAAAATTGGTTTTCTTACAGGATTCTTTGGGAAGATTCAAAAGGATGGTAATGTCTGAGCAGTCACCCGTTAGCTTTGTCATAGCTGTGGAAGCTGTATGTGGAGTATTTGTGGTCTGTACTGTGAGTAATGTTTTAAACACAACGTAGCTCTGATTATTGAAGGCCTGCTGTCGGATGAGCTGGTTCTGATGACGTGAGAGCTCTCCATGGGAGAAGGCATTGAGATTTCAGTAATGTAGAAACTAGAGGGGGGATCTGGAAACATTTGGGGGCACATAATTGCTGTGAATGTCACCAGTGGCTGGTAGAAGTGAGCAGCTGCACTGCTTGACTCCTGTGGCAGCAGTGTGAGAGTTACAGATGTGTGTCAGTGTCAGAAGTGCGTGTGCTCAAGCCTTTTTCTGTTACCAGCCTTCAGTGCCTAATTTGAACCAGTGTTTTTCTTACTTTGGATTTATTCCTTCAATATAGACTTCTCAAGGTGACTCTAAGGACAAGAAAGTGGATCAGCCACCTCAAGCCAAGAAGGCTAAAGTAAAGACTACTACAGTGGACCTTCCCATTGAGAACCAGTTGGTGTGGCAGATAGGGAAGGATATGCTCAACTTGTTCATTGAGAATGAGGTAAGCTCTACTTGTCGGAGCTGAAGAGGTCTGTAACTCACAGGGAATCTTGCTGTTCATTAGGTGTGGTTAAATGCTAATGATGGGCAGGGAAAGATGATCATAGCTTTTTGTGGTGAACAGCAGTGGCCCTTGGAGCCAGGATGTGATGCTCCTAATGGAGACTCTCGATCTGTAGGGGAGCTTGGAGTGACTCAGCTGCAGGCTGTGAGGCTGCTGCCCCTGGGGGCTGACTGCTCAGCTGGGGCAGGCTGGTCTGTACTGGATGTGCCTCCAGCAGCAAATTGTGGTTCCTTTTTGTCATCTGCTTTGTGGTAGAGTTCTGCACATTGTTTCAAAATCTGTAACCAAACTGATCTCGTTAAGAAGTATTTTGAGGTCTTGTAGATAATGAGCTTTTTAGCTAACTAATGTGTCAATTTGTTCTCAGGGTAAAATGATAATGCAGGATAAGCTAGAGAAGGAGAGGAACGATGCTAAGAATGCAGTAGAAGAATATGTGTATGATATGAGAGACAAACTCTGCAGTATTTATGAGAAATTTGTTAGTGAAGACGTAAGTATTTCTGGCTTTGTCCTCTGTTTTATTGCAATTAACAGTTATTTTTAATAACCTTTGACTGTATCATATTAGTGTGCTTACTTAGACTGCACTTGTAAGCTTTCAGACTTGAATTTAAACTTGAAACATCTCCAGCCTTTTTGTTTATGACAGTGACCCAAGTGTGGGCCGAGTGCAGGCAGGTGGCACGCAGGGCATATTGTTCTTTCCCAAAACATTTGCAGCTGTGGAAGTTATTGCCTGATCTCCTGCTTTTAGACTGAAACAAGGAGCACTTGACAATCATTTGAAGGCAACCTGACCTACTTCAGCTCTTCGTTGATTTTTAGGAATGGTTTAAGATTAAAAATTTTTAAAAGTTCTTCACATTCTAAAAATGAAACCCTTTAAAGATTCCAAACACCACTTTAATGTCATCCAGTGGGATCATTTCACTTAACTGTTTTGTGTGGATTGCTTCAGGATCGAAATAGCTTCACGCTGAAGCTGGAAGATACAGAAAATTGGCTTTATGAAGATGGTGAAGATCAGCCCAAGCAAATTTACATTGATAAATTAACAGAGCTAAAGGTGAGTGGTTTTTGCATTTCAGTCAGAACTCAGTGAGTCCAGAGAACTTCAAGTGAGGAGCTGGCTAGCTCAGGACCACTAATCTGGAGATTAATGCTTACAACAAACTGATTTATTTACTAAGGATGTAAGCAGACTTGCAACTGGTCTGTGACAACACAAAGGAGAATCTGCCCTTCCTCTAAGTGAAGGGAAACATTGCAAGGAGTTTGGAAATGCTGCTGTGCCCTGCTGAGAGGCGACACGGGGTGATCATGGCGTGTTTTACTTTTTCAGGCCTTGGGTCAACCTATTCAGGCGAGATTTCAAGAATCAGAGGAAAGGCCAAAAGCATTTGAGGATTTAGGGAAGCAAATCCAACAGTACATGAAAACTGTTCATGCCTTCAAAGCAAAGGTATTTCCACACTTAATTTCTGGCGGGTGCCCAGAAGTGATGTGAGGCCTGTTTTGAATCTTAAGTAAGCTGTGCAGAAAGTTCATGCAATGTCCTGGTTAGCTTCTGCCGACCATGTTCTCAGAAGTGGGTTTTGGCTTGAAAAATGTGTCTTCATTAGGAAGTCAATCTTGATTTTTCTTATGAGGGAGGAAATACCAGCAGCAGTGCAACTTGAGTTTTGTCTGTGCAGAGCTGAGGGTGGTTGGGTTAATTGCTAATCAGAACAGCCTTCTAGCTAAATGGTCTGTTTGGTGTTTTGTGATGAGTTCTGGGCAATGAAGTGTTGAGAGTGCGTGCAGTTTGGATGTTCAGTCACGTGCACAGCTACCATGGTGTGTTTCAGGATGAGCAGTATGACCATCTGGATGAAGCAGATGTGGCGAAAGTGGAGAAAAGTGCAAATGAAGCAATGGAATGGATGAATAACAAACTCAATCTTCAGAACAAGAGAAGTCTTACTTTGGACCCAGTTATAAAAGCTAAAGACATACAAGCTAAAACTAAAGTAAGTCTTTCTAGGCAATCATTTCCATGAGTCTTATGCTTCTTGATGAAGTTGTATGCTTGGATGAGGACTGAGGTGAGATCAGCTGTAGAAAAAGATGGTGTTTGGGTGCTGACTTGTTAGGTGTGTAAGGGAACACCTGCCTCTGCTCTGGATATCCAGTCGGTGCCAAAGGTTCACTGAGCAGGCGGGTAACGAAACAATTGGTGAGAGACACCTCTAACAGTTCTTAATTCCTGTTTTACAGGAGTTGACAAGTATTTGCAACCCTATAGTTACAAAACCCAAACCCAAAGTTGAACTCCCAAAGGAGGAGCAGAAACCAGCCGAACCGAACGGACCAGTAGAAGGGCAGGGAGATGGCAGCAGTGGGGCCCAGAGTGCGGAGCCCAGCGCTGCGCCCGCCCCGACAGCTGCAGAGAAGAAGCTTCCTGAGATGGACATTGACTAAACGTCAGTACTTGTTTATATTACTGCAACCCACAATAAAGCTTTAAGTTTGTCAACTTTGTATGTTCTGAATACGAATTGAAGCAAGTGAATACCGCAGCGCTCTTGGTGATCTTTGGAGAGGTTTGTCAGTGCCTGAGGTCAGAATGCTTAGGTAGCCAACTCGGTCAAACAAGTATTTCTTGCCATAGTGATTGTAGCTCGAGGCTTCTGGTACCGTTACAGCTCCTGCGGAAGCAGCCATCGGCTGTCTCCATGTTGAAGCATGTTCATGCTGAGTCAGTCTTGTTTTAAGAAGGGGACTGCACTTCCTCTAGTCCTATTTTCATTCTGTTCATGTTCTCTTGTGTGGCATAGCAGTGTTCAGAAGAGAATGCCTGCTAAAGCTAGGCCAGTGAGACAGGAATGGGAGGGGGCTGCTCCTCAGACCTGCAGCCTCTTCTCACTGCTTACCTTAGTCTAGCCTGTGTTTAAGCATTAACACACCTCTAGGTTTTCTCTTGATCTGCACCTGATCGGCTCCTGCTTGCACAAGGTACGCAGAGCAGCGGGTGAGTGTTCCCATGCCTTTATTCCTGCAGTGGGTGTCACCGCTTCACCCATAGCCCCAAATCAAATCCATTTACCTGAGATGTAGAATAGTGACTGCACTCCTAACAGCTCAGGCACGAATGTGCTCTGAACCACCAAGTTTAGAGTCCCTGGTTAGTCAGTAGCCTTGTCTGCAGCTCAGTAGGTGCTTGTAGGAAGGATGAGGGCTGCAGCCCAGCTGCCTGCACTGAGCGCTGACTGCTGTGTTCCTAACTCTTTAGGGGGTGTGCTTGCTTCCATGAGGCCTTCATTTGGAATGTTTGTTTTTCTTTTTCAGGAACAAAGCATTTTTTCTATGAGTTTATGCAGTAATTTGCTTCTAGTACTGATTGTCATTAAACTTGCAAACGTTAATTTGTATGTGTTAAAGCCGAAGTTGAAACACCGTTCAGCTGTTGGAAGAAATAAATGCACTGGATTCTACTGGACAACTTTCTGAAGCCGTTGATTGCGGGGGGGGGGGGGGAGTTGAGCGTCTCCTTAGCGCCCGCGGCCCCGGAAGGCGGGATGAGTTCGTGGCTGCGGGGCTGAGCTGAGCTCCGGGCCGGCGCTTTGAGCCCGGCTGCAGCTGGCGAGGGCGGCGTTCTGCGGGCGGGGAGCGCAGCAGCACCCGGCGGCCCGTCCCGCAGCGCTGCTCGCGGCGCCTTCCGTCCATGCGCGCAGTTTCTGCCGCTCGCCCGGCCGCGGCGCCTCCCGAGGGACCCCGCGTTCCTCCCGGCCGCCGGGGGGCGCTGTGGGGAGGGCGGAGCGCGGCGGGCGGAGCTGGGCGCTCTGCGCTGTCAGCGGCGCGGCCGGGTCGGGGCCTCCGCCCTCCGCCGGTCCTTTTCGGTTCGCGCGTCCCGTCCGCTGCGGAGCCGGCAGCGCCCCGTTCCGCGTCCCTCGGGCCGCGCGGCCGCCACGCGGCTGAGGTAACCGGGGGCGGCCGTGCGGAAGAGCGAGCTGTGACGGGGGGTCGGCCGGGTTCTGCGGGGCGCCCCGTGCGGCCGCGGCCCCGCCGGGCGCCGTCACCGCGGCCTCCGAACTCAGTCCCGCCCGTGCGGGAGCGCGGCGGGAGGCTTTCTGTTCCCGGCTCGCTCCGGTTACGTTTCTGCCCGGCGGGAGCGGTGCCGGGGCGCAGCGGGTCGGGACTCCGCGGCGGCCGTTGAGCGAACCGTCCCGGGCGCGGCGTCTGGCGGAGCTGTGGCGGGGGAACTTCGACCCTGCGGCTCCGTGCGCGTGGCCGCAGCCGGGCGGTGCCGCAGCGCCGTGCACTGACAGCCCGGCCGGCGTTTTGTGCGCGACGCGCGGAGCGTTGCGGGACCGCGCTGCGGCTGTGCCGGGCACACGGCGCCCCCTGCCGGCCGGAGCGCGCGGCGCCCGCGTGGGGTTCGGAGCTTACGGAGGTATTCAGAAACTTTGTCGTAAACGTGCCTTTCTGGAGCGCTGCTCGAGCGATTCTGTTCCTAATGCGTTTCTCTTCTTTTCTGCTCTGTTTCCCTTCCAGTCGCTGTGCGATGTCCAGCTGCCGCTTTTCCCTTTGCTGTATTTCGCTGCTATTCTTGCAGCTGTTCTCAGCCGCTGACGACCGTTTGCTTTTTAAGTCCTCCACGTTCTGTCGGTGTTTCCCATTCTGTAAAGTTACCAACGCTTTTTTTTTCAATTCATAAAAGAAGTGTAATCGCGTTCTGTGTTCGTATCGGCTGCTTTGGTTTCTGACTCTTCCTGTGGAGGCGTCAAACAGGCGCGCAGTTTGGATGGGATGCGTGAACTCAGTTGATGCTATAGAGCGGTGTTAACCCCACAGACACCTTAAATGTCTTCAGAAGACAGAGAAGCTCAGGAGGATGAGCTGCTGGCGCTGGCCAGCATCTATGAGGAAGATGAGTTTAAGAGAGCCGAGTCAGCACAAGGAGGAGAAACCAGAATTTGTTTGGAGCTGCCCCAAAACTTCAAAGTTTTTGTGAGCGGTGAGTTGTGGTGGCTTCCGTTATCTTTAAGTTGCCTTTCACCAGGTAGTTTCCTGGTGCCTTCTCAGATGCTCTCATAGGCTGTAGGAATATTTAGCTGACAGAGCAGTGCGGGACCCCTCCTCGTGTCTGTGGCACTGCTGGGGTTGTGTCAGGCTGGGCACTCTCACCATTTGGATGCAGCCTCTCCACTGAGATTCAAAATTCGAGCCGAGTCGCAGCATTTCTTTGGGGTAATTAAGTTCATGTATTTATTTTTCCCCTGGGGGTTTTTTTTCCTTGTCCTCAGTTCCTGCAGGATCTGCTGTTTCACAGCACTCCTGTTTATTGGTTTAACCCCACACAACCTCACGGCGCTTAATGCACCCTTATTTAGGGTTGAATAAATGATTTTAAAATTCATCAAACGGACAGAGAGGCCGCCTGTGCCATCCTTTGGTTCTCATCTTTTTGTTATGTCTCACGTTGTCTCCATTGGCTTTGGCTCAGGCAATTCCACAGAGAGTCCCCAGGGCAGGGGCTTTGAATGCACCGTTTGCTTTCTGCCTCCGCTTGTGCTGAATTTTGAGCTCCCAGCGGACTACCCATCCACCTCCCCGCCTGCGTTTACCCTCAGCAGCAAATGGCTCTCCCCAGCACAGGTTGGTGAATCACTTCTGACGTTCTAGCAGAGCTTTTGTGGTCGTGAGTGAGTGCACAATCAGCAGCGCTCTGCTGGATGTCAGCATGGCACATGCAACTAAAATGGAGACTTGAGTGATGGCACCTGGCTTTCACTTGGCTCTTTTCTTACTTGGTTACACCTTCTGAGAGTTCATATTCTATGAACATTATTTTTATGTCTTTTACACATTACCTAAAAGTTTTGGGATTTGAGATGTAAATTTGCATTAAAGGAGGACCATGGGAGAGGGAGGAGAGCTGCCACGAGTTCTCAGAGCTCACTGAAACCTGAAGTGCTTTTTCTTTCCTAGCTCAGCGCTCTTTGCAAGCATTTAGACAACCTGTGGGAAGAGAACCGAGGCTGCGTGGTCTTGTTTGCCTGGATGCAGTTTCTGAAGGAAGAAACGTTGAGTTACCTGAATATTTCCTCCCCATACGAGCTAAAAATGTGCCAACAAGGGAACACACAGGGCAGGACGCCTTCGGTCCCTCAGGATGCCGAGGATTGTGGTGGTGCAGTGGGCTGTGCTGCAGCTGAAGAAGAAATTGATGAAAGAGCTGTACAGGACGTGGAATCTTTGTCCAGCCTGATTCGGGAGATCCTGGACTTTGATCAGGCTCAGAGAAGGAAGTGCTTTAACAGTAAGATGTACTTGTGCAATATTTGCTTCTGTGAGAAGCTGGGCAGGGAATGCATGTACTTCACCGAGTGCAGCCACGTGTACTGCAAAGCTTGCCTGAAGGACTACTTTGAAATTCAGATCAGGGATGGTCAGGTCCACTGCCTCAACTGTCCAGAACCGAAGTGTGCTTCTGTTGCTACTCCTGGTCAGGTAAGGGATGCGAGCATGGCGGCAAGGGCTGTGTGAGCCCAGCACTGTGGAGCACAGTCTGGCTTTTAATGGTTGGCGTGGCCCAGGGAAATCCTCTCTCTGAGCCACACAGAATCACAGAATCACAGAATCGTAGGGGTTGGAAGGGACCTCCAGAGATCATTGAGTCCAACCCACACGCATTCCTCCAGATTACAGCTGGATCATGGGGAGCGTGTTTTGCCTGCTGGCAGAGTGGTGGCATTGGTCAGAGACTGAACTGACGTCCCTCCTGTTTGCTGCTGTGTGTTTGTTCTTTTGATTGTTTAACTGTTACCAGAATAGCTTTTCTAGGAGTAATTTTGTGGCCTCACTTGGAGGATCCAGACTGAATTCACGCCAGCTGCACTTTTTCATCTATTTAACATTTCTTGTCGTAGGTAACAGAGTTCCAAAGGCAGATAATCCTCCCTTGGTCTTTGTTAGGTGAAGGAGTTGGTCGGAGAGCAGCTGTTTGCACGCTATGACCGCCTGCTGCTGCAGTCCACCCTGGACCTGATGGCAGATGTTGTGTACTGCCCGCGGCCGGGCTGCCAGACACCCGTCATGCAGGAGCCGGGCTGCACCATGGGCATCTGCTCCTGCTGCAACTACGCGTTCTGCACTCTGTGCAAGATGACCTACCATGGGGTCTCGCCCTGTAAAATCACTGCAGGTGAGTCACTGCGTGCCAGGAATGGGCCCCGAAGCAGTTAATTGGGTGTCGTGTGAAAAAGAATGGAAGTCAGAATTTAAACAGGGAGGCTGGTCGGCTCCTGAGCTTGGACAGGATCCTTTAGGTAGGTCTGTTGCTGGCGATTAAAAGATCCCACTTTCGTGGCACTGCACAGATCAGGAAGTCCCTGAACGACTGACGGCCGAATTCAGCGAGGCCATAGAGGGCAGAATGCCTTCATTTATTTGTGCCCTTTTTTACCCTTTCCTGTGAATCCACTTCTTTCTGCTCTTTCTGTACGTGCTCAGGTGACACCCCATGGGCCGCGTGGCCTTGGAATCAAGTGGCATGGCAATAACTTTGTGTTCAGAACAAAAACTTCTGGTTTTCAGTTCAGTTTACATCTTAGACTTGTTCTGATCTCACTGAATTTCTCTTTATGATCAAGCACTGTAAAGCTGTTGAATGAGGAGCAGAGGTCTTAATATTCGTTTTCTTACGTATTCTTATGTTTTACTCTTTAATGAACGATGCTGGTTTCCTGTGAGAATGCTTTATATGCTGCTAGCTGTACTTCCTCCTGTAATGCAGTGCAAAAGCTGTTTCTTTGTTTCACTCTGCAGAGAAATTGATGGATTTGCGTAATGAATATTTAGAAGCCGATGAGGCAACCAAAAGATTTTTGGAGCAGCGCTACGGCAAGCGAGTGATCCAGAAAGCTCTCGAGGAGATGGAGAGCAGAGAATGGCTGGAAAAGAACTCCAAGTCCTGCCCTTGCTGCAGTACTCCTATAGAGGTGAGTGGTGGTGGAGGGGGAGAGGCTGGGATCACAGCAACTCCTGATGGAAATGAATGCAAAAGGCCAAGTCATTCTGTATTTGCATCAGCTCAGAGATTTACTCCCAGTGTCTGAGCTCACCAGTGAAAGCACACTTCTAGCAGCTGGCAAAGAGACCTTTGCCCTTCTGTCCGCAGTATGCAGAGAGGGAGGTTATGGTTTATAGTCAGGGCCGTGAGCTGTTTTGCCCACTGGCAAAATGGTGGCACTGGTCAGAGGCAGCAGCTGATGGTTCAGTGCTGAGAAGATCCAGGTTGACTCAGCGTGGATCCACGTGAACCCTTTCCACGTGTTTTAGACCTTTTCAGACTGCAACTGGTAACACACAGATAGCTTCAGATGAACAGGAGTTTCCAGTGGTGCCACAGCTGAGCCTCGACTCCCAGTTCTCCCAGCTGTGGAAAACATCACTGCTGTGATGGTCAGGGCACGATGCAGCCTTGAGCGTTGTGGTTTTGAGGTCTGACGTGCAAACACCTCATTATTTCTTTTCTTTTCCCTGCCAGAAACTAGATGGCTGTAACAAAATGACGTGTACTGGCTGCATGCAGTACTTCTGCTGGCTCTGTATGGCTTCCCTGTCCAGGGTGAACCCATACAAGCACTTCAATGACCCGTCTTCCCCGTGCTTTGATCGGTACGTGTCTCCGTGTGTTTCCTCCAGTGCTGCACTGCTGCTCTTAGGTTCTGTCAGATGCACATTCCAGAACAGCAGCATTTTTGTTGCTCTGCTTCTGTCCATCAGTGTGGCTGGCGGGATTTTCTCTTGTTCTTGAACCTCGTTTCTCAGCACTTTTTCCTCTCCCAACAACAATTTTTCCACTTCCTACCCAATTTTCCTCTGTTTTTCTCCCTGTGTCTCCTGCTGTCCTTGGAGCTCGGCTTTCACCTCTCTCGACAAAGATGAACTGTTTCACAAGAAAAACCCATACTCTTTCATTTTGTTCCCCTGTTGTGCTGTAGTTGTTTGCCCAGCGCTGTCTGCTCAGGTGACACTCAGCTGTTTGGAGCAGGCAGGCTTGGCTGCTGCTGATATGCTGCTAAAAACCAACTGGGAATTGCAGCATGCTGGTAACTTTTAATACAGCTTGGATCATTATTTTCCAAGATCTCTTGACACTTCATGTCCGTAAGGTGCTGTAAGACCCTCTGCTGTGAAGCACTGTACAAAGGCAAAGTGGCTTCTTTTAACTGACCTTGGGAACTGCAGCATGAGTGTCGTATGCTACTGATAAAAATTATGAAACCTGCTTTTGCTTTTTTATGTTTATGTTTATGTTTATGTTTTCTTTTTACTTTATTTTCTATTCTGATGTAAATTTTGACTGTTTTGCAGATTGTTTCAAGCTATGCAAATTGATGGTGAGTTCTGGGAAGATGAAAACTAGTATTCTTCTCTAGCAACAGATGCTGAAGAAACCAGAGACAGATGCTTTCCTTTTTTTGTCAAAGCTGTTTGATTTTCAGTGCTCTGATGCCATAGAAGAACAATACCACCTTGCACTGCAGGATCCTTGCACAACCCTTCTGTTGCCAGAACCAAAGGAGGCCATTTTACCCACCCTGTGGTCAAGGTGTTGAAAGTCCTAATAGTAACATCCAGTGATAAAGAGAAACGCAACCAAGAAGTGAGAACAGAACGGGAGGTCTGTACCAAGAGGTGCCCCTCGTTCAGCTCCCGAATGGCAGCAATGTTTCTGGAGTGGCCTCCTGAGGAGGTTTGCCTTCCAGGGATGTCAGCTGGCTCCGCTGTTTGGGGCAGCGCCATCCCAGGTGCTGGTTCTGGAGCTGTTAGTTACGCTGCTTGGAAAGGGAAAGTGTTGTGAAGCAGCACAGGCTGCGTTCAGGGGCTGAGCCCGGCGCCCCCTGCATTTCCTGCCTGTTTCTGTGGCAGCAGCTCACTGCTGTTCTGGCAGTGGCGGTGAAGGCGCTGATCCCTGACTCCTTTCACTGGCTGCAGTGCCCGTGTTCTTCACTGAACGCATGGGCAGAACTGGCTGACAGCTGTTTCTGGAGTCGGGGTCACCCTGCGGAGTGCCGCAGTGCTGAGCGCCTCGCTGCCACCCCCACTGAGCGCTGAGCGGAGTCTGGGCAGTGAAAATGATACCAGACAGTTCTGGGCATGGACCGTCTGGATCAGGGGTAATTTTTAGTACCTGAAAGAATTCAAGTTTCTTTCTCACCAGACATTAACTTGTTTACAAAATCTTCTTGTAAGGAATTTGATTAGTTGACGTTCTTGGTTCTGGGCCAGATGCCTCATTTCTGCTGTTCTTGCCCTTTAAATATTTCAAAAAACATGGTTTCCCCTAAAAGCTCAGCAAGCTGTTTTGGGAACATGGAAGTAATTGCTGGAGAGAAACACTGATTTATTTTTTTTTCCTGCTTACAGAATGATCTAAAAAATTATTTTGGAATTCCGACTCTTTAAAGCAAACAGCAGGTCTGGATGGATAGCTCAGGAGCTTGAAAACTGTTCAAACTCGGTTTTGATTGACAGTAAATAAATGTTAGTTAAGTACCTGGCCAAAATGAGTGTTGATGTAGTTCCTTTTGCAGAGGAAAAGTCTCTATTCGAATTGGCAGCGATTAAAGTAGTAAGGGTGGATTTCCTGCCTTGATTTAGGCTGTAGGATGGTGTGTGTAGAGCAAGTTTACATTGTGTATGGTTTACTTGTATTTCCTGCACCTTTCACATGCACTAAATTCACTTTAAGACAGCAAATACAGTTGTCTTCCTGTTTGTCTTCGTTATGGCACTCGTGTAAGCAGCTGTTGGTGTGTGGTACAGCTGTGCTGCTGGGCTCTGGTGCTCTTACACTGCAGGGCTGGGACACTCGAGGTCTCTTGAGGGAACGCAGCAGAGCTCAAAACCTTCATGTGAGCTTGATGCCTGGGGCATCCTGCTGAGGGAACTTGGCACATTTCTGTAAGCTCGGTGCCCTCAGAGCAAAGTTACCTTGGTTTTTGGGGGACATCCGGGCCTGTAGGTGATGGATGTGGTGGCAGTCATAAAGCTGCCGTGGAAACAACACGTGGGATGCAGCCAGCTTTGTGCTGCAGTCCCACAGTAGTTTGCACTCTGCCCCAGTTGTTAACACAGCACCTGAACTCTGTGACCAGGAACCTGCTTTGGAAAGCACTTTCTTCTTGCTGTGCAGATTACGTGGGCAGACAAGGAGTGCTTGGCCCAGGGTGAATGAAGTGTGCATTTATCATTCTCTGCCTGGAGGCAATGCTGCTGGATCTCAGGTGTATAGAGGCAGTGCAGGTCCCTTCTCCAAGGACAGAGGTGCAGAGCAGCAGCCAATGTTCCTGTGGCTGCTGGGCACTCAGCGGCCCTGGGCTGCAGCTCCTGTGCTTAACAGAGGCACAGAAGGACTGAGCCTCTCCACAACAGCTGAGCAGGTGAGTGTGCTCACAGGACAAACAGCTGGCAGCGCAGAGGCAGAACAGCTCAAACCTCATCCTGTCTTCATCAATCAGGGCCAGGCAAGCAACGCCACAACAGCACAGTTTTTTCCTTGAGGCTACTTCTTCCTCTCACAGAATGCTGCTTCCTCATTTCTGTGTGCACACAGAAAGACTGTGCTTAATTACAGACATTTGATGGTACTGGTAGAGAGCTGAGACCTCCTCCTTTTTCCTGTAGAAATTCCCACTCTTTCCCCACCCCCCACCTGGCCCAAAGGAGACAGACAGCCACTGCCTGCCCGGCCGGTTGTGTGGGATGCCTACCAGCAGAGAGCAGCCATGGAGTTGGGCCCTTAAGGCATGGAGCCACAGCAGCTACTTCTTCCAGTTCTTGGTTCTGGGTGACAGAAAGCCTTGTTCAGAACAACACACCTTTTTGGACTTTGTTGCTTCTACTCAAATATGCCATCACAGCTCCCATTCAGACACATAAGTTGTTCCACGTTTCGCAGAGAAACCAAGCAACACGTACAGTCAGAGCAACTGGAGAAAAATAACACTTTTACTGTAGAAAGTTATAGATGAACAGCTCTATAACAAAGATCCCAGACAAAGACAACGCCTACTCCCCAGTCTGGTGTGCACTGATCTTGTTTAGATCTTACCACAAAAGGACCAAGTGGGCTTTGGCTGTTCAGGCTCTTGCCCACCTCTGTGGGGGGCACTTTGTAATTAAGCACACGCTGAGCTCAGGGAACAGAACGTTTCCTTTGAGGATTACCTGACATTTCCTGGAAGCACATGAAATGGAGAGAGAGAACTCGCTGCCTCAGGCTCTGCCCAACACCAGTCACAGAGCACCGAGGAGCACGAACAGAAGTAATTTAATGTTTGTTGTGAAGAAATCTACCCTGCTGAAGATCATAAAGCACCACTGCATATAAAGTTGTACCTCGTAACTGAATGTGTAAGGCCTCTTTTAGAATTGTGGCAGCAAAGAAAATCACAGATTCGTGAGCCAACCGTTCACTGCATTAATGGCACTGCACTGGGAATTGCTGCATCCCTTTTGCTGGGATCTCCTTGCATCTGGCTCCATGCCGGGTTCAGCCAGGGCAGTTTGGTCCTGAAAACTTCCATCAGATCGAGGCTGCACACCTCTGTGGAACTGTCACTGTCTCCTCTGCCTGTCCTCACAGGGAAACGTTTTCATTATATCCAATGTCAATGTCATTTCAGTTCGTGCCCCACTGTCCCTTATCTCTCCTCCTGTGCACTGCAGTGGAGCACTGTTTCTATTTCTAGATGGCTTACTCAGAGCTATGAAGCAGGCTACTGTTAAGCTGTGCTGATACTTTCCCTTCTCTGGGCTGAACAAGAACCATTCCCGTTTTATGTGAGTATAACTTGGGAGCATTTTGGGGGGCAGTGCTACACAGATGTGCTTGACAGAACTGCACTCCAAAGTGATCACCCGTTGTGTTTTCACATTTGTTTTGGTGCCTCCAGTCCAAACAATTATAACTGCCTCTTTGCTTAAACAACTGATTCTCCACTGGTTTTGCCTTCAGAGAATACGTTGGTGGAGATTTGTGGAACACAGCGCAGTGGATCACATCCTCGTTTGGTTAATTAAAGCAGGTACTTGCTAATTGAAGAACAACGACAAGATGAATTTCTGCAGCAATTCCCTTTCTTTGCAGCTGGTTTTCTACATAAAAAGATGGCTCAGAGTGACTCTAGGCAGTGAGAGATCAATCACTGTAAGGCTTCTTAGAGTGGCTTCTTTCTGCTTCTGTCTCCTTCATGCTGTATAAGGGTTCCACAAGCTTGTTATGAACCAGCATTAAACCTGATGTGGCAGGTAAAAAGATGACTTCAGTAGACATAATAAAGCAAAATTTTCATTCGTTGCATGCTAATGAAATTAGGTATTAGTCAAATCTGTGCTCCTTTGTCCCACGGCCACAGAGATAAGTGAGAAGTGACTGACAGCCTCAGTGCTCTACGTTTCAGCTGTTGTCTTGGAAGAGTGTTCTCTTTTGGGAGTTTTTGGGAGATTAAACAAGCATTTAACAAAAATCATGGCTTCTGCCACTGAAAAAGGAAGTGCAACCACTGCCTGCCCTGGTCAGACTCACCTTTAAAGTACTTCACTGTCTTAACTTTCAGTTCCAGTGTAGCATCCTCGTCACACACAAACACGGTCTGGGGGTGCTGCTGGAAGGCAGACACTGTCCACATGTGGTTGACACCTTCCTCGATGGCTTTGTACAAAGCAAAGGCTTTGTGGGCTCCCGTGATCAGAATCATCACCTGGATTCCAAGGCAAGAAGATGGCAGTTAGAGTCCAGAAGACTTGCTGAGAGCAAACCCACACCAACTAATACAGAGCTGCCCAGTCCCTAATGGGGAGTAAGGTCTGTCATGCCCCCAGAAGTCAGTCACAAGTTCTGTTTGCTTTAGCTACATTTTATTTATCATAGCCTGGAGGCTAGTTTTAGTGATTTGGACACTTTGAGCTCCCATTAGACACCTACATACAGACTTAACTTGTACAAATCAAGGTGTAGGTGCAGTGAAAAGCTATTCCATTTGCCTTTCATCATCTGGTATAAGATCGAGTCAGACAGGGGTTCTTGCAGCTATTTCACCAAATGAGCTCCTTAACTGAAGCCATTCTCCAAAAGCCCTTCTAGCTCCCTGCAATCACAACTGTACTGCAGGGTTACACAAATGTTAGGGTTAGTAGAGAAAAAAAAAAAACAAACAAGTGGAAAGCAGGTTAAGCAGATTAAGAGCCTTTCCACAGTGGTACAGGATGCAAGAAAGGAAGACTGTGTTCAGCTATCTGTGGCAGGAAAAACGTGGGCTGGTTTACACCAGCAGGGTGCATAACTGCTCCAAGATGACCTTCACTTATTTCAGAAAGCCCTGCTCTAGAGCTGCTGTCTGTAGTGTCTGTTGTTTTCCTAACCTCTCTGGCATCCATGACAGTGCCTACTCCAACTGTCAAAGCCATCGTGGGGACTTTGGAGAGGTCACCATCAAAAAACCTGGCATTAGCCAGTATAGTGTCCATAGCCAAGGTCTTCACTCGCGTCCTAGACACCAAACTTGATCCAGGCTCATTGAAGGCGATGTGACCATCAGGGCCAATACCTGTGACAGAGACAGTTTGAGAAGCAGGTCACTGGCTGAAATGGTTTTTGTAGGAAACAGAACCAGCATACCTCTGTTACAGAGCCATTCAGCGCCCCCAGGAATAGACACAGATCTGAGAAACACGCTTCCAATTTCTCTGTTGGAGCTCAAATTTGCTTCTGATAATGGTAGCAAAAGCTCCTTATGAAGTCAGAGACCTTCTCAGTTGCACTGGGACAACAACAAAGCAAAGCAGATAGCAGAATCTAAGGCAAACTGATGGGGAAAGCTTGCTTGTGTTGGCTATAACTATTTCTAGCAGCTTCCTGTTACCCTAATTATTGTAACACATTTTGTAGTGGATAAAATTCAAGCCCTGCCTGGTTCTCCAGCTCACCACCTCCTGAGCAATTCCCTTCCTGAATTCAAACATTTAAGCAGGGGAATGAGATGTCAGACAACAAGGCTGCCAGCACACACGAGCACTCAGTAAAAGTGTATGGGGTGCCTTCACTGCACATCCCCTGGACTTATTTCTCTTCTCCAGATAATAAATAAGATAGATGGAGGAAAGACAGTGCATAGAGACTGCCAGTCCTTCAAGTGTTCACCTCCAACAAAGAGTTCAATTCCTCCAGCTGCTCTGATTTTATCCTCAAACGCATCACACTCCGCCTGTAGATCAGCTGCATTTCCATCCAAAATGTGAACGTTTTCTGCCGAGATATCAACATGCTTGAAGAAGTTGTTCCACATGAAGGAGTGGTAGCTTTCCGGATGGTCCCTCGGGAGACCTGTTGACAGAGCACGCACAGGGCTGGGACCAGCCAGAAAAACATCACCTGTAATGCAGAACACCTACACAGGCTTGCGGTGCCTCTGGCAACAGAGCTCTGTTTTCTCCATCTGTCTTATAACTCCCTCAACTTTCAGAAGTTTTGCTTCCTCAAATAAGCAAAATTACACCAGCCATG